ACGGTCAGTCCCGTTGTTTTCTCCTCCAGATTGTTCATCCAGCCTATCTTATTTAGACAGACCTGCGGAGATAATAACATGCACAAAAACAAGACGGAGCAACACCAAGCAACAATATACAACAAAACAACAACAAACCAATGACAAAAACAAAACACAACAAGAAAGAAAAGCTTGTAATTAGTTCAAGGACTATTGGCCTGTAAGACTTATCTTATTCAAGATACGGTATGTGTTCTTGGGGCAAAGTTTCTGGTTTGGGCAATTTGTGCCATCATGTGGCACAAACCTTTCTGGCTCCTGCCTTTTCCCCTCGATGGCTGAGAGCGCAGGGATTGACCAAGCTAGAGTGTAAAATTCAAAGTGGAGTCCCAGCTAGAAGATCTGGGATACTTGGCATGGGCACAACTCCTTGGTTCTTAGTTTGAATCCAGTGTTAGGCTGGAACCTACGTTTTGGTGTCTTAGTGCCCCTGCTGGCTCTTGAAGCTGGCTTTTCAGGAGGGAGAAGCGTGTGATTGGAAAGCAACTGAGGTGTAGACTTGTCCCTTATAATGGCACCTTGTCATGCCCCATCACTGTCTGTTTTGCTGGCCTCAAGGCACTGTTTCTGCCACCTGTGGTTTTTCCATAGACTGCCTGCTTCCTGTAGTCATTTCGCTTTTACAGCCATTATTTCCTCTGGTACTATCTCCACAGGGTTGTGTTGAGCCAAGGACAAATAATACTTTAAGCGCACTTCTCTTTTGCATGTCTTAAGTTTAGAATCCACCAAACAGAAGCTAAACCAGCAACAAGTTGGCATTTACAGGAGCTCATGTTCCGGCTAGTGCATATGAGATCATTCTCAAGGTACCATCACCTTCCTACATCACCTTCCTACTCCAAGTGAGTGGACCAAGGTGACAGGGTCATGTGACATTCGCACACACTGGAAAGCTGTCTTTGCAGAAGTCAGAGTGAGCCACGGAGTGGTTCCGTTCAAACCTCCATGTCTCCGAGTACAGGGACTAGTTTAACCTAAGTGGGACTCTGGACTCCAGGAGGAAGAAAGTGACTTGTCTCACCTGAATGGTCTGTTGGGAGCTCCAGAGACTCCTTCTCCACAGGCCTTGAGCTGTAGTCTGCCTTCTGCCTAACTCAGGTAGCCGAAACGGATCTGGGGCACGGAGTTGAACTCGGAGGGGTGAGGACAAAAGGACACCGTAACTTTTGACAGGTCAAGGAGCATGTCAGGGGACAGATTGAGGGCTAGTAGATCAGAAATGAATCCAGGTAGAAACTCCAGAGACACTGCATGACCTCAGCTTCCATGAGGGGTGGGATCGCTGCCCAAGAGGCCTGAGTGTAGAGCACACAAATGAAGGATCCAACAGCTTCAACTTGCTTCTCCCTCCCGCAGGTCTCAGATGCATTAAAAACACGGGCCTTTGATCACTGAGCAGTTAAGAAGTCTCCCCAGACAGCTGAGACCCAGCCGGAGATGAAATGCCTTCCAAGTGGTCCTGTGGCCGAGTTTTAAGGCAGCCATTGGACTGGCTCTACAGTATTACATTGCTTGGTTCACTCTGCCCGAGAAGAGCAGGCCTCGGAGAAGACTTTTGTCTTCAAAGAACAGAGACTATATGAAAACCATGAAGAAACTGACTCAGAGCTATGAAGGAAAAGGTGAGAGTTGCTGAGGGTCTGTAGAGGGGAAGAAGGGGGACCAAGGCTCTAGGATCAGGTGGCATGCACTGGTGGCGTCAGCTGAGTAAGCTGGCCGCTGCCCTCTGTCCCAAGTTAGAGAAGCTGCTTTGCGAGCATTGTTGGTGTGTCTGCTTGCTCACAGCTTCTATGTCTGTTTTTAGATGTGTCTTCTAAACCTACTGACTTTCCCCAAGAGGAGAAGGAGAAGGCAAAAATCCTGGTGAGTTAGAACTACCTCCTTTGTTCTAGTTAGGTGCCCTTGAATGGGCTCGAACCTATTGAGATTCCATGGGCAACCAAAGGAAACACTGCCCAGTCTTGAGCCATCTTTGCGATTGTTAAGGGTAGTCCCATTGTGGCAATCATTCTGTCAGTCTGTCTTGTCTGGGGTTTTTTGTTTGTTTTTTAATGTGATTAACTGACTCTACAGCGTAAAGCTTGCTGTCTCTGAGAAAAGCATTCAAGCCCACAGTCAACTGTGCAGGAGAAAGAGGAGGGAGTCTGCTTTGGGGTTTACAGCCTTTGAATCTCCCCTGGACCGTGGCAGCACTATGAGTCGGAACAGCCTTTCCGGCAGTTGTGAACTTGCTTGTTATTTTCACAGGCTGAGTTTTCTGTGTTCAGTGCCATCACCACGGATAGATGGGTGCAGACCACACCCTCTGCCCTGCCCAAAGAGGTGATACCAAAACGAGCCCAAGATCAAGTGGTCACTACTGCACTGCTGGAAGGAGTCTACCCCCTAAGGCTGCGATGTCACTCTGGCTGATGTCATTTGTCACCCAGCAGTAACCTATACACATACAGAGCCTCGTAAAGATGCAGGCTTGTTGATCACGATTTGCCACCAGACACAGAAGAGCATTTCATTCTATAAAGGCCAACGGGAGGCTTACCAGAGCTGTGGGAAGCTCAGGGGGCTGTGCTGCCTCGCTGTGCACCAAGATGAGTGAGCAATTTTCTCTGTCTCGTCCTTCCTACAGTGACTTGAGTGGGGAAATGACACCATGTGTTCCTTCAGTAGGTGACCTCACCCAGGGTAAATGTCCTTTGTGGGCAGTATCTCTGTTGTTGTCAAATATGTTGTATATTACATGAGCTACCACTCTGCACGATGAGTAATACGTTAAAGAGGTTTGTTAGGAAGGATCATTACAATTCAGATACACAGACAGTGGCTCTACAGATCCCACTGAGTCTCCTAAACTCTTCAGCAATGCTCCTTCCAGACCCATATGTGCACGCCCACTTTTCTCTGTTGTTGAACTCTACTTCCATCTGCTCCTCGAATCCTCACATTTCTTTTTTGTTGTTGTTGTTTTTTAACCTCACATTTCTTAATACCTAGCACAGGTCCCACCTCGAGGATGCCTTCTGTTCTTTCGTAGCCCATTCTACAAGCTCCCGTGCCTGAATCCTTCCATTATGAATTCTCAAGGGCATTTATTGTATTATTCTCTAGTTTTCTTAGGAAGAACCTGGGTGGCATGGTGGGTGACACTTGGGATGCTAACCACAAAGTCAGCAGTTCAAATCCACCAGTGGTTGTGCAGGAGAAAAATGAGGCTTTCTATTCCAGTAAGGATCTACAGTCTTGGGAACCCACAGGGTCAGTTCTACTTTGTCCTGTATGGTCGTATGAGTTGTAATAGATTCCATGGCAATGCGTTTTAGTTTGTTAATATTGTCAGCTTCATTCACAAACTGATTATCTGGTGACTTCACACACGTTTCAGCCCCGGAATGTGTTTGCGCACCATTGATACTCCTTTCAGATTCTCTCCCAAGGCCATGGACCCATCCATGTTCAAAATAAGCTGCTATGGAGAACTGTGCTCTCTGAGTGAATTAGAGGACCTTCTCGAGCTGCTCACTCCTCCAGGCCCTCCTTGAACCCCTGCCATTAAGAAAGGTGATGTTGGTTTTGTGTTCTGGTTTGGTTCTAGGAGCCAGTCACGTTTGAGGATGTCACCATGGTCTTCTCCGAGGCTGAATGGGAGGAGCTGAGTGCTGAGCAGAAGACTCTGTACAAGGAGGTGATGCTGGAGATCTACGGGCATCTGCTGTCATTGGGTGAGGGCGTGCTTCTCTTCTTTCCCTTCCTAATCCAACAGCTATGCCCTGACCGCCTACCCTATGCCACAGGAGGCATAGTTGTTAATAGAGAGCTCAGGGGATTGAACTCCACCCCCCAGCCTCTCTGTGGGAAAAGACTGTGGGAATCTGCTTTCATAAAGATTCACAGCCTTGGAATCCTTCAGGGAGTTGCTCCACTGTCCTATAGGACCACGATGGGACGCAATCTACTGTATATGCTCGAGGATAAGCCGAGTTTTTTCAGCACGTTTTTAATGCAGTTTTTGTAGTAAAATGAGGTGCCTCGGCGCATATTCGGGTCGGCTTATGCTCGAGTATATCGGGTATTTATGACAACGGGTGTGTTTGCTTTTCTGTGTGTCAAAGGCTCCTGGGGGGGCGCTGACAGTTCCACTCAATAGTAAGGACAGGCTGTAACTCAAACCCACCCGGGGGCAACACTGAAGAAAGTGGTGGTCATACGCTTCACCAAGGACCACAGCCAGAAAACTTTGAGGGTCAAGTTATGTGAAATAAACAGAAGGTCAGCTAGATGGATTAGTTCTGTTCTGTAGTGGCACGAGTTGGCCATTGATTGGAGTTCACTTGTTGGTAACTTTGTCTTGCTTTGTTTTTATTATGCACCAGAAAATGTTGTAGATACTGAGAGCAGGTTACTAAAGGTCATTGTAAAACCCTGTCTTTTAGTTGGGCTTATCTTCAATTATAAAGAGAGAAACTACAAACAGTAAATCTATTTTTGAGGGGACTTCAAAGAGTTTTTTCAAAATTGAAAGAAAAAATAGATAAGCTTAATTGCTTAACCTATATCCCAACAAATTCATTACCCTCCATAAGTTACTAACAACCATTTAGTCCATCCATAGTACTAGATTTGTGACTCTGTCACAAATGTTGTGTTTTTTACAATACTACGGGAAGGAAAAAAATTAATTTTTTTCACACCTAGCCCACCACATGTCGCTACTGTAAAATTTAGAACTGTAAGGCATATGCCTAACGATTTCTCATTGCTGTTAAATTCCTTCAAATCGGTTCCAAGTCATAGCAGTCCTGTGTGTAGCAGAAGGAAACCCTACCTGGTCCTGTGCCATTGACACTGTCCAAACGAGTCTTCTGTAATGAGAGGCATCAGCAGGAGCACTGTCTTGGTGGGGAAGGATTCTCCGGGCATTTTTCTGCTAACACTTTGCCTACTTTCTCAAAACCCTCTTATAAAGCGGATGTTAACATTCCGTGGCCCTCCAGAGGGAAAACCAAGAAAATGCCTTCGGCATCCTAAACATCTTGCCATCAAAGTGATGGAGAGTCATCGTCGTCCTTGACCCAGAGTAGAACGACTGCAGGCGTGAATCTTTGCTAGAGCAGACTGCCATTTCTCTGGTGCCTCAGGTGGGCTCCAGGGGGTCTCCTTTACCTGAGTGAGCCCGGGTTCCTTACAGCTTCAGTAAGAAGTGTCATTTACGAGACTGGAACATAGAATCCTTATCGTTGATTGTTGTGCTGTCTGTCGATGAATGTCCAGAGTGGCATAGGGTCGTCGTTATTTGCTGTCAGGCCTATTCTGACCCTGGATGACTACACAGAGGCAGAATTGGCCCGCTCCAGAGTTTTTTCAACACAGCTCTAGGGAAGCAGATCGCCAGACCTGCTTTAAGAACCACCGACTTTTCAGCTCGTTGGCGAGTCCTTATCTGTTGGTGCTCCCCAAGGATCCCTGAAGTTGGGGGCTGTCTGTCAAGAGCAGAGGCTGACAGTCCCGGCGGGCCCACTCATACCTGCTCTCATGGGAAACTTTCTCTCTTCAGCTGAAAAAAACAAAACAAAAAACAACCCCCAAACAAACAAACAAATAGAAACTTACCCTTGTTCCTCCTGCCTTCTGCTTTCCTCCTGTCAATGCCTCAGCCAATCTGTGCTTCATTTCTCTCCAGGCTTGTGTGCTGAACACCACTTCTGTCCCGGAGGTTCCAGCCCAGGGCATCCGAAGCAGCCAGGGCAGCAGAATTCTGGTCAGAACTGCTGGGAAGAAAACACAGATGGTCAAACGAGAGAAGGCACTTCCAAAGCCTTCTGTGTGGCAACCTTGGGGAGAGAGACTCCAAGGGAATTTTTCAGGCCAGCCCAGAAACAGTCACCAAGCCCTAGAGGAAGACGTTCAGGGGTGGGAATAGAGACCAACTCGGCCCAAATGTTGCCATCTGTGGGAACAGAGCCAGTCTCGCAGGCATTGGAAACCTCAGGGTTCGGAGAGGTCACCTGTAAAGAGGATGGAGCTGCCTGTGCCCGTCTGCCAGACGTCCTCACCAACCAGAGGTCCCGCCTCCAGAAGAAGCCCCATGTGTGCGAGGAGTGTGGGCGGGATTTCAAGTGGAAGTCTCTGCTCATCAGACACCAGAGAACACACACAGGGGACAGGCCCCATGTGT